TGGAAGCATGTCAGATACTCTGTTACTGTCTAATGCTGAACCCAAAGAGACTCCATGACCAAGATGCAGACCCCCAGAAGAGAGGAGACTGGCTCCCAGCTGAAGAGCAGGACTTATCATTAAACTTACATTAATTTCTATCCCCTTAGTAGGACTCTGGACTCCAGTGCTAGTGGGAACTCAGCAGGGCCTAAATTCTTAAGAGCTGCTTAATCCATGAGGCAAGGTTCTGTGCCAAGCCTGACACAGATGAGTAGGAAGAACAAAGGCAGATGTTCATGAGAACCAGAAGAAAAAGAGTCCCAGAATAGAGGACAAGTACAAGTATGCTCTCCAGAATGCACATACAGGCAACTCTGGGTTTCCTGAAGGGGCAGAAGCTGAGCAAGCAGGCAAGGGATGGTTGGGCTACCTGGAGCTGTGAGTGATGGTACATCCACCGCAAGGCAGCCGAGGTCATGCTCGGGGCTCTGGTGCCATAGGTGGTCTTCAAGGACTTCTTCACAAGGTCGATGCCCTTTAAGTAGCTTTCCTTCCAGTAGCTCATTGGTGAGGAAGGAAGTAGAGGCATCAGTCTCTTGGTGTCATTTGAGCATAAGCTAATCCCTGCAGGCCTGAGGGGCTGGGGTCAGGGATGTAGCTCAGGTGGTGGTAGGCTTGCCTGGCTATGCCAGATGCCCTGGGTTCAGTTTCTACCTCCTCACAGAACGTGTCTGTAATGCCAGCACTAGGGACATAGAGGCAGGAGGATCAGAAATTCAAGGTCATCTTCAGCTACATAGCAAGTTCAAGACCAGCCTGGGATACAAGGATTCCACTCTTGAAAAAGAATTTTTGCCTACTCTTGGGACAATTTCCCTCCTATAGGAGGCCATGTTCAGCCTCTACATGGGGGCTTTTGTCTTGTCTTATTGTATGTTGTTAGTTGTTGTTTCTTGGAGATCTGCTCGTTTCTGAAGGGAAACAGAGGGAGAGTGGATCTGGGAAAGAGGGGAGGTGGGAGGAAGCTAGAGGGAGTGGAGGGAGGGGAAACTGATTGGGATGTATTGTATGAGGGAGGGATCGATTTTCAATATTTTCTTCTTACAGCGTGGCTGGCCATAGCAGCACACACATCTAATTCCAGCACTTAGGAAGCTCCAACAGGAAGGAAGGCCATGTGTAATGGGTTAGCCTGGTCTACACAGCGAGCCCTGTCTAAGGAAAAAAGAATGGCGCAGGAAACAATTTCCTTCCGTCACTGTGCATGTATTATGCTTGACAATCTTGATAATTTTTCCTTTTCTTTTCTGTTTTTTAATGTTTTCTTAGTTCTTCTTTTTGTTTGTTTTCTTCTCAGAACTGAGGACTGAACCCAGGACGTTGGACTTGCTATACAAGCACTCCCCATTGGGCTGTATCACCCAGCGCATTTTTCTTCTCTCATCTTACGTGATTTGATTTGTGTGCCGGGTTGGTGAGCATGCGCACACGTGCATGTATGCACACTTGCGCGCACAATGACCAGAGGAGAACGCCAGTGTCCTGCTCTAGCACTATCTCCTGTACACTAACACAGAGCATCTTGGGGCTGGAGACATGGCTTCGTAGTCCAGAGAGCTGACCACTCATCCAGACAACCAGGATCCATTCCCAAATCCTACATGGCAGCTAGCCACCCTTTGTACCTCCCGTTTTAGGGTGAGCTGATGCCCTCTTCTGGCCTCGTCAGGCGCTGCGCGAGTGTGGTGCACAGACTGGCATGCAGGCCAAACATCCATGGCAAAAAGAAACAAATAAATACATAAACTGGGTCTTTTACCGAACCTTGGCAGTAGCTGACAGCCAGCTAGGCCAGCGATCTTCTTGTCTCAGCTCAACACTATACTACAGGAAGGCAAGCAACTGAGAAAGATTGTTACGTGGGTGTTGGGATATGAACTTCCTACCCAGACACAAGCCCCAACTCAACTTACTCGTCCCTGTAGAAATTATCATATTTCTTCCCAAAGAAGCGGCTCAAGGGCTGCTCCTCTTCCTTTGTTTCATATTTGTATTTGCCAGTCAGCAGGCCTCCTGTGGGAAAGCAGTAGTGAAACCCTAGTCCAGACTCCTCCCAGAGGCTGCCGGGACCCTGTGTGTTAGGAACTAGAGAGCAGGAGGGAGCCTGAAAAGAAGGGGACCCAGGCACCCCTTCTCAAAGATGCCAGATTCCCAGGGCCTGGACTGGATATCTCCCATGGCAGCACTATATAAAGCGGGCTGGGCATGCCCACCCACCCACAGGGCCTGTGCCCATGGCAACCATACCAGCCAATGGGCTGTAGGCATAGAACCTCAATCCAAAGTGTCTGAGGCAGGGGAGGAGCTCCTTCTCCACCTGCCTGGTGGTGGCGTTGTACATGCCCTGCAGGGAGACAGTTGGGGAGGAGGGCCATGTCAAGAGAGAGACCCAAATGTACCTTGTAAAATCCCTCACTTTAGTCCTTAACATTCCTGGACCTTGACAATGAGGGCGTACACATAGTGGTGGTAGGTTTGGAATTTATAATCACCAAGTTTATGGTTATGCCCAAAGATCAGCGGAGGCTTGGACCCAAAGTCTGAATGGTCCTGGCACACCAGGTTCCTCTCACCTGGTACACAGTGGGCATGATCCAGCCATTTTTCTTGCAGATGGTACAGATCTCAGCCACTTCCCAGGAGGCATAGTTGGATAGGCCAAGCTCTACAAACTTGCCCTACAGGGGAGAGACTCCATCAC